TCGGATCCGGATCCGAGGTAACTTTTGATTCTGTGAATCGGATTTTCCCTATTAAATGTTATGCAAGGTTATAATTTATAAACTATAGTAATCCTAAAGTTAAAAATGTCGTCATTACTATTATATAAATGTAAACATTAAATTATTAAAGATAATTTTGAAAAATTTTCGTCATTAAAAAGGGTGAAATCCTAAAACTTTCATAACCTAACATCAATTTCAATGTCTACTCGTAAAATAAGTTTTATCATTCTGCCCAAAGTATATAAAGGTTCACTTTGAAATACTTTAGGCATAAAGTTAAACATAACTTCATACCAAATCTTAATAACGTAACATTTCTCATTTTTCCAATTTCTCAATTTCTCTGCACATTTCATATGTCGCATAAATTCATAAATGCGTCAATGAGAATTGTTAAAAGAACTAAAACTGGAAGCTTTTTTTGAAGAGTTAATTTCTATAAGCTCTACTTCAATCAAATTCTATGTTTTTGGAAATTTCGCAACGTAAAAAATTAGATTTTTAAAGGACACTTAAACATTAAATACCTGAGTACTCCTAAATCCTGGTCTGTTGCCCCAGTAGTGGTTAGTTTAACATAAGATTTCTCCGAGATCTGATCTGTTTCATGTGCCAGAGCTAGCTGGGATACTATCCTTCTCTCAACCTGAACCAGTATATTAGATCTGTTTCATAAGCTAGAGCAGGGATACTATCCTTTTCTCAACCTGAACCAGTATATTAGATCTGTTTCATAAGCTAGAGCTGGGATACTTTCCTTCTCTCAACCTGAACCAGTATATTAGATCTGTTTCATGTGCTAGAGCTGGGATACTATCCTTCTCTCAACCTAAACCATTGTATTGGATCTGTTTCATGAACCAGCATATTAGATCTGTTTCATGTGCTAGAGCTAGGATACTACCCTTCTCTCAACCTAAAGCAGGATATTAGATCTATTTCATGTGCTGGAGCTAACTGGGATACTACCCTTCTCTCAATTTTTTTTTTCAAATATAGGTTTGCAATATTTTAATCGCTATATTACCTCATGTTTAATAGATCTAGCTCCATAGTAAACATTGTATCCGTCTGCCAGGAGGTTCAGAACGCTCCTGTCCCAGCTTAAGACTATACTGTGCTTCCGCTGCGCTCTTCCAGCCCAGAACTCTAGTTCCTTCTCGACTAGGTGCAACAGTTCACTCCTAACCAGGAGGTATTTACATGAGTTGGTCCATGTAGGTAGGTAGGTAGGTGGGTATGTAGGTAGGTCGGTAGGTAGGTAGGTAGGTAGGTAGGTAGGTAGGTAGGTAGGTAGGTAGGTAGGTAGGTAGGTAGGTAGGTAGGTAGGTAGGTAGGTAGGTAGGTAGGTAGGGAGGTAGGTAGGTGATTTGAAAGGTAGATTTAAAGTAAATCTAAAGATATGTAGGACTAGATTTTACAAGATGGGAGGAAAAAAGTCAAAATATAGGTGTGATCATAAATCAATCTCTAGTTTTGTATGATTTCCAGTGCTGTCATGAAACATGCTTTAGCAAGGAAGACGGTAAGAAGGTTTAGGAAGTCAGTAGGAGGTTAGCAAGGTAGGTAAGTTAATATTAAAAGGTAGGTAGGCAGGGCAAGGTTAGTTAGGATCAATCAGATTGCAAGGATATATAGGGATTGAAAAATTAGAGTTTGTGGCAAAAACTAATCTCCTTTACCTTGAGAATGGGAGAAAATAAACAATCTCATTAATCCGTCCGAGAAATTCGTCTCGTCGAAAGTGTGTTTTCAGTATAGGTTGAACTATCTTCTCCTGACAAACAAATAAATTTAAAACTTGCACATAAAAAGGTCTGAAGGGGTCGATCTCCCTAAACTTCATCCTGAACTGGGACCACTAACATTATGGATATCGAGATCAATGCTTTATTTCAATATTTCGGTAATCTGCAGATTAATTTAATCTTTTAAAAAAAGTATAATAAATTAACACAGATATTTGGGCCTGAAAAACTTAGAATTTGTAAAAATTTGTGATCATACGAAAACAATATGTAAGTTTGTTTATTTCTACTAAGATATACAATAAAATGAAAAGATGCACAAACCTTGAAATGTTTTGAGATCGCAATCTTCTCCTGAATAATTTCTCCTTCTTTTGGAAATTCATTAAACTTTGCTTTAGCAACCTCTTCACTCTCACGCCTTAAATTATTTATTTGAAAAGGTGAAAATGCCATTTCTGTTCAAAGGAAAAAAATATTAATTAATGTAAAGTTTCAGTCAAAATAAAAAATAAATATATATTTTGTTAGAACCAGAGCATAAATAATAAAGATAACACAATTGTGATGAAATAATAACAATAAATATTTAAATAATATTATCAAAAATAGTGATAATGATAATAAACATTATCACAATAACAATGAAATTACTAATTATGATAATAATATTTGTAATTTACGATTTGGTAAAAGGCTACTTGGGATTAGAATGTGCACTGTACAGTACGGGAAAGGTAGAACCGGTTTTGTCTGACTGTGTGACTAACCTGAGCTGAATAGCGTGGTCCGCTATCTCTGAGCTAGCTAGGTTAGAGGTCATTATAAATATAGCGTTCTTACACTCAATCGTCTTACCCTAAATAACATCAAGGTTACTAAACAAAGTTGGTTTAACTTTAAGGGACTGTAAGTGTAATTTCAAGGGACCTTCCATGCAAAGATTCACAACAGTACCCTTATTATCATCATTAACAGACAACCCTGCATATCTTCCACATTATTTATCAGATTAAGGTTTTAATGGTAACATTTGGATTAGGGCAATGCCATTTTTGCATGAATGGTCACTTGAAATAACGCTTACTGGGCCTTAAAATATCTGAAAGTTAAACTTTTAAGGTAATTTGGGACGGTGGGAGATGAGATGATTCTAATTATGTCTTAGATCTCGCAGATCTTTCTGATAGGGGCTGCTCACGTAATTTTAAGTGTAAAGTGACCCTTCCTTATTTTGTATAGGGAAGAAGTAGATGTGAATTCTGAAATATATTTTATTATAAAACTGCATAGACAGTTCGTGAATCATTTCCACCACAATGCCCAGATATCTAATCTATAAAATAGGAATTGAGTCTTTGCCACAAACTCGATTGTCTAATCCCTATATTTATGAAACCAAATGTTGTAGACCCTAGATATTTTAAGCTATGAATTATGTTAGATCAAATAATCTATGTTTGAAATAACAAAGGTTTACACAATCAGGTTGCAAAGATATTGGGATTAGAAAACCTGAGTTTGTGGCCAAGACTCAGTTACTTTGACACATTATGGATTTATCAAGTTTTGCGCCAAAATAAAAAAACCAGATCATTTTCAATATTTTCCATATTTCTTGTGTTTTATGTCTTCTTTGACCATTTTAAGAGTGGATTCTTTATTTCTAACAATTCCACCGACATACTTTCTTGTATTTGAGATTTGTTTAGTCTTTACCTTCCCATCTGTTAGACGTCCTTCGTCGAATAGTTGGAGGAGCACTGTAAGAACATCAGGATGGGCTTTATCTACCTCGTCAAATAGAACTACACCGTCAGGGAACTCTCTAGACAGATCAATTCAAGTAAATCAAGGTGCATACAAGACAATATAAGATGTTAAATAAAAAAATTAAATGTATTGAATTAAAGTAAGATAACTCAATATGATCAAATCTGAAAAATCAAAAAGGGGTGCAAAGCTCCCTCATTTGTTTACCTTAGACGTTTAGTTAGCTGTCCACCATCATCATGTCCAACATAGCCTGGTGGAGATCCAATCAGTTTAGCCACCTCGTGCTTCTCCTAACATTGCAGCCATTTTATTTATTTTTTATTCGTTTATTAATTTTTAACATACATTTTCTTTGGTTTGTATTTTGTCGCGAGAGGATTTTGTATTTTGAAGTTAAAATATTTTGAAACCAGCTGCAACAATGGAACATGGACATTGAATATTAAGTAGAAATATTGGAGACGAGCACAACTATCTGTCAAGTCTGTTAAATTACTAAACTTGCTTTAATGGATAAAATTACAAATATAAGGTTAATATTGTATATTAATTACTAGGATTTTATAGGACGCTGCGCGCCCTCTTTCCTGTAAAATTTTTTAGCTTTTATTTGTTGCTCTGAAAGTCGGCCATTTTAAATCATTTCAAATGTTGGCGGATTTTTCTCTTTAAATTGGCGCATTTTCAGAAATCGTAAATTTCCACATTTTTTCCAGACAAAATTTTTAAAAATTTTGTTCACCAGCCAGAAACCTTCCCCCCCCAACTTTGATGTTCCATAACCCTTCCCTGGGGTCATGTGAGGGTCCACAGAAAATTTGGGCCCGATCGGTTCCGCCAGTTTGACGTTTATTGGATACAAACGGACAGACCGACAGACAGAGACAAGCAAAGTATATATATAGATAAGTAAATAATAATGGCAAAGATAATGATAATAATATTATAAATATAAAGTATAGAACCTGAAACTCAGACATGTCAAGCCGAATAAATCCCTTATTGTCTTGTTTGTGCAAATATCTAAATTAAAAAGTCGAAATTATAATTTTTAACATCTTTTGAGCAAACTCTACGCTCAGTATGTATTGTTGGCAAATTTGGTCTTGGAAAGGGGGATAAAATTAAACCTTAAACCTTGATAAAATTAAATTCCCTCAACTTCCCTGTAAAAAAGTTGTAAATAGTTACAAATGTCGTCTTCAACCATCAGAATTCTAGTAACCCTCGAGGGGTTGAAAAAACTTTCCGAAAAAAAAATCAAATCGAAAATAAGTTGTTACTACTTTAAAGTTTAAAATTGTCCTTGTTCTAGCATGTCAACGAACTAATTATCGAGATATACATTACAGAGACAAAGATACTACTTCATGAGAACTAGAAAAAATTGAAATTCACGCCTTCTCTATCTTTTAATTAGAAAATGTTGTTTAGGTTTTTTATTCAAATTTGCGACTAAACTTTTTCAATATCAGCGTCCTCAGCATTTTAAACGATATTATATTAAGTGGTAACAATTGAAAATAAAAAAATCCTGAGATATTTTTTTAGGAAAAGGAAGAACAAAGACGACTTTCATTCCATAGTTCTCTGGTTCTTACTGTAGTGCAATATTATACCTGGATACTAGCTTCATAGAGTACCTGGATAACCAGGATAGTAGTTTGAAGTATACCTGGATACAAATTTCATGGAGTACCTGGATAAACAGGATAGTAGTTTAAAGTATACCTGGATACTAGCTTCATGGAGTACCTGGATAAACAGAATAGTAGTTTATTCCTGGATACCATAGTTTCATGGAGTACTTGGATAACCAGGATAGTAGTTTTAAGTTTACCTGGATACTAGCTTCATGGAGTACCTGGATAACCAGGATAGTAATTTATACCTGGTTACTATAGTTTCATGGAGTACCTGGATAACCAGGATAGTAGTTTTAAGTTTACCTGGATACTTGTTTTGCTAGTTCAGTTTTCCCAATCCCTGATGAACCAAGGAACAGGAACACTAACGGATGCTCGTCATCCGTCCAACCATTCTCCTTCCTTCAAAAAGTTCAAGCATGCAAGGATGACCTTTTCAATTTCAAATTTTTTTTATATTATTTATTTTATATCTTTCCCTATCCTTCCCTCACTACCTTCGTATTTAATTGCTGTAACTGTACTAATTGCTCCCTACAACACTACACTTCCCTCACTACCTGCGTATAGCTGCTGCAACTGTACTAATTACTCCCTACAACACTACACTTCCCTCACTACCTGCGTATAGCTGCTGCAACTGTACTAATTGCTCCCTACAACACTACACTTCCCTCACTACCTGCGTATAGCTGCTGCAACTGTACTAATTTCTCCCTACAACACTACACTTCCCTCACTACCTGCGTATAGCTGCTGCAACTGTACTAATTACTCTCTACAACACTACACTTCCCTCACTACCTGCGTATAGCTGCTGCGACTGTACTAATTGCTCCCTCCTGTCCAACAATGAACTGCTTAAGCTTCTGCTCCAAGGGAAACCTTCTCCTCTCCTCTACCTCCCTCTGCTTCTTCAGCTCAAGGTACTTCTCTCCATACACCCTGAATATATTTTTTAAATCTTTAAAGACATTTACCGGATATAGAGTACACGAATAAAAACCAAACTATATTTTTTAATTTTCTACATTTAAACAAACAATCTATTGTCTGTAACTCTAGAGTCTGAATATTTTGATACAATCTTCACATTTTTGAAAGAATATTAAAAGTGTTTAATTTTATCAGAACATAAATAATAAATAGTTTAAAACAAAATGAAAAAGCTCCGTTTTTTCTTTAAATTAGAAACGATACTGAGAGTTTGATTATTTGATTAAAAATAACATGTTTCTTGAAAATTTTTCAGGACAAATTTTTAGAGAAATAAGTTGCAAAATCGAATTAAATCAGACAGTGTACACTGTACACTGCAGTGTGTGTACATATATAAGAACAAAATTAAAACAGTTTCTTTTGAATCGAAAATTTTCAGTTTAATTTTCTAGCATTATCATTTATCAATGTCAAATATAATACAAAAAAAATTTAATTTTTTATGACGACCTAAAACTTCATACATATAACAATCCAAGGTTTAAACGTAAGATTCTGCCATATTGGCTTTTAATGGTATATTAAATGATTTTGCTGAAAAATAAACATGTTTACAGTTGCATAGAACCATGAATTTAAAGACTCAATAAATTCGGTACAGTCGTATCTGAAGTCTCATCCTTTTCGGAAACTTTTGTATCTTAAAAAAGAGGAACACTTACTTTAAAACATTTTTGATTACAGGATCTCTGGAATAGTCCAATGGAGTTTTACCGTAATCATTCACTTTTAGAGGATCCGCTCCTGCCTGTAAAATATAGATTACATCTAGAATAGTTTAACTGTAATCATTTACTTTTAAGGAGTCTATTCCAGTGCAGCCTGTAGAAATATTGATCACACATAGACCAGTTGTAATCTACTCTTGCCATTAGAAATATTGATTACAGAACTAACATGTAATCTTATTCAGTTTCATAGTAATCATTTACTTTAAAGAGGATCTACTAACGACTTATTACTATAGATTATAAAACCACAGAGAACACTATGAAAGTTATGAAAGATATTTAAAGACAGGATCGATTTTAAAGGGTCATAATGACTTGACATTTGGCTTTGTCTTGACTTTTGATAATTTAATACTTAATTGTAGCCATGTACTTGTTCATTTTCAAACTGCAACGAGATTATTTTAAATTTTAGTTCAAAAGGAGTAATGGGAAAAATTCTGATAAAACTCATCACAAGAGCGTGAAAGTTTGCTTCACACTGTGAATAAAGTACTTGAGTTACCTTTAGAGGATTTAACTAGAATTAAAAGAAAAATATCTAAAGCTCTTAAACCCAGGATTCTCAGAACTTTTTCATAAGATTTAAAGTTATCTGAGCTATCCATTAGACATTAATTAGAATTTCTTTTTAGAAAAATCACATATTTTCCGTTTGAATTTTTAACGTTTAATCTTAATAAGAAAATGAAAGATAAAAAATGCAAAACTTAAAATTATCAAAATCTGAAAAATAAAATATTTGATTATTAAAATGTGACCTCTAATAATGCATTCACAATACCAGGATCATCTGCCAGAGCAGCGTAGTGTAGTGGAGTGCATCCTCTAAAATAAAATCAGAATTTTAGAAATTGTCCGAAAAATTACCCGGAAAAAATCGGAAATTGCACTTTGTTTATCAAAACTTACAAATTAGACAGATCTCATCTAGGAAATCCCAGGATCAGATGAATTGAATCTGGTGTTAATGTTTAAACCTTTTTGACTTAAAAAAGTATTATTAAAGTCACGATAAAATTTCGTGTAGTAGAAGACGATTTTAAAAGTATACTGCATGTACATTGTAATGTACAGGGTATCCCACGAGCGAAGGATGGCAGGCAGCCATAGGCCACTACCGTTTTTACTTTTTATGCCACTTATTATCTTTTATGTCTTCCGGCAGCCATCAGCCACAACCGTTCGGTCTTCCATTCCACATTCGTCTTCCGGCAATTATTACTTTTGAAATCGTAAATTTGCATTCAAATAGCGATTTTTATAAACATGAAGGGAAATTTTGGAAACACAAAAAAAAGCAGACCAAAGTCCAAATACCCCTTGAAAGTCGTCTCTCCGCCGTCAATTTTGTGGGACACCTTGTTATATACCTGAAATTGGCTCTGTTACTAAGCCTGTTTGAGAACTCGTCTTCTCTTGATATCTGTACATCAATACTCTGCATCCTTTTCTCTCTATTGTACATAATATATTATTACTGTACACAATAAATGTTTTGTATGAACCCTATACTCTTATACCCCCAATTCTCTAATTAAAACAAAATTTCCGAAATTGAGTTAAAATCTCATTAAAAAAATAATAGGACTTGATGTTAATTTCAATAATCCTCCCCCCCCCTCCCCCTCGCACATTGAAGTTTTTAAAATCAAGTGAAAAAAGATCAGAAATTAAACCTAAATCTTTTTAAAAAACAAGAAAAAAAATTGAGTTTTGACCTTATATGGTTTAATATAGTTGGCCAACAAAATAATTTTTGAACTGATGATGAAACTGTTTTGATGGGAGACAAAACCAGAATTAATTTGAAAAAATGACGGTAAATATATATATGTATAAATTCCTGGCTGTTGTGTAAACATTCATAAATTCATCTTCTATATCAGGGTCTGCTCCGTACTCCAGCAGTACACTTACAATCTGTACAATAATCATATATAGAACAAGTTATATATAGAACGAAAACCTACAAAAAAACTAAAAAAAGATCTCAACATTTTTGAACTGAACTTAACTTTTTAAAATTTAATATTTTTTTTAATGGAATAGGTTTCGGATCTTAATTCAACACAAAATTTCCAACATTAAATTTTCCAATTATTTTTTGTCTCTTTAAAATTTAGTTTTTTGGTCCATCGGAAATAATGATTATGTTTAATGTTTACTATCGACCTCTGGTGGGCGGTTAGCTGATTATTAAAAAAGTCCAAAATCCATCCCTCGGTTTTTACACTGTCAAATTTGCATGTATTTGCCATTTTGCATATTTTGTTTTTTTGCTCGGATGACCTGTTTAAACTTGAACCAGATCAAAATTGAAATATTTAATTTATTTTAAGAAAACCTATCACAACGGGGCATCCGACAGTTTAAAGAATTTGAGCCGCGGCTTAAATTTGAGACTCGGCTCAAATGTTTGGTTTCACTATTTCAAGATTTAAGCCGGCGCTAAATTAAAACCGTTTTTTTGCGGATTTGAGACACGACTCAAATTCTTTAAATTTGGACTCAGGTTCCTAGTCACAGCTTCTAACCATCCTTTATTCCTCAGCATGTTTCTTTATTCTTTACCCAGTATTTTGAGTATATTATGCTTGCCTGCAACTGTGTACTGATTTCTTTATTTGCCAAATCATTAAGTAAGTCATTAGAAGACAATTTTCAAGTGAGAAGGCTTTAATTTGTTAACTTTGAAATCGTCATATTTTAGAAGCTTCAGATCGTATTTACAGTATCATCCTTTGTGGGTAACCCTGTATGATAAAGCCGGAAAATCTTCATATAATTGCTCTATCATGTGCCCCTTTTCCCATTACTGACCTAAGCATCAAAAACAGAGTGCGGTCTATGCAAAATTATAATTTAGAATTTTCTTCCCTTGTAATAAATGGTGATAATTTAGCCCTCATATTATTTTAATTCTTGCACTGGCATACTGACCTCTCTTCTAGAGTTAACTGCTGCAATATGAAGAGGACCCCAACCTAGTTCATGTTTACCATTTACATCTACACCTAGATACAGTCAAATCAAAATTGACATCAAACCTAATTTTCTTATTCCTAAATCTGTGCAACCTGAGCTGAAAACTTAAGAATTGTGGATATCGAGATCAATGCTTGATCTCCTCTTTTTTTTTAATCCGAAGACTAATTTAATCTTACGTTAATATCAGGGAAATTGTCTTCATTGAAACCAATCAGGTGTCGATTAAAGAAACTATCCAGCCAATCAGAAGCCGAGAAATTTCCAAATTTTGGCGTGCACTCAATAAGAAAACTCTTATTGGATCGACGACATGAAGAATATCCGAAAGAGGATTAAGCAGAAAATAAAAAGCGTCGACAGTGGATACAGGGATTTTGCAATCCAGGGTTAGGGGAATCCAATATAAGAGTTTTCAGCTCTGGGAACATGCAGAATTGCTGACATTGAAGAATTAATAGATTAATAGTTTAAATCATCAAAAGTCTACGATATCAGGTTGCAAAGATAAGAAAAATGGAGTTTGAGGAGAGTAATCAGTTATTTTCTATCTGTCTGACTTCCATGACCTACCCCAGTTGTGAAAGATATAAGACAGAAATCTTAAAATTTACAAATGAGGTAAATGTATTAAAATGTATTAAAATGTATTAAAATGTATTAAAATGTATTAAAATGTATGTATGTATATGATACTTCACATATAAATATTTACCTCCAGATTTAAGCAATGCTTCAACTTCTATAATATTCCCCGACTTAATCGCCTAAAGTCAAAAAAATGAAATTTTCTGAATTAAATCAAAGTTTTTGCCACAAACTCAAATGTTCTAATCCCTATATCATGGCAACCAACTGTTGTAATCCTTTAATATTTCAAGGTATGAATTCTATCAGCTAAGTTTGAAATATAAGAAAATTTGATTGTGGCAAAAAAAAGGTTCTTTTGAAAATGTAAAATGTTATATTATTTTCATAAAACAATTGCTCGTACCTTGAGGAATTTGTCTTGTAAATTTCTCCCACTCCCTCTACACTCGTACACGGTTATACCCAAACCACCTGTACAGTATGCAGTACAGCACAGTACAATACTTTGTAGTACATTAAGTTTCCTGTTATTTATTAAATATTTGTATTTTCCACATTAACTTTTAGAGTCTTAAACTTAATCTTCAGATCTAACACTTTCAATGGCCTTTTATCTTTTAGTACTTTTACTTGTTCAAACAAATTTTTGTATCAAATAATTAATTAAGATTTTATTTTTCATGATTATTTGACCCTCATGAGCTTTATGTACCCAGACTAAATCTATTAGGATCGATTATAATGTGAAGCTCTAAAGCATAAAAACATCTGTATAGTGTAGTGTACCTAAAGCTATAAACGTGAGAGGAGTCCTTGAAACAAACCTCGTTGGAAGAATCTAAAATAGTAATCTTCTTAAAGGGACTGTGGACTAATTTTAGGTAACCTAGTTTCTTCCTTGATTTAGTCACTTTGAGTTGGGAGCATAGATTGTATAATTTTTCACTACTAAGTCACTTTTACAGAAAAATCACAACGGAAATTTATCAATTTTCAGAACCAAAAACGATGAAAATCAAATCAAACTTTTTCCGAGACGAAGGTTCAATGGGTAAAATAGTGAAAAGAGAATGTCAGACTTCAAATTTAGGGTTCCTTATAGATATGTTGATTGGCGCTTTAAAATCCGCGCCAAGTTCAGCTCTTTTATTTCTAAAATCTTCAATATAAAAACTTACTTGGTAAATCTGTCTAAAGCTTGAAATTGTACTTGTACTCTCTCCTCGAGTTCGCCAACCTCGTCTCAACAGAGATTTTAACACCCGAAAACTCATCTCAATCTGAAATGTAAGAACTTGAATTTTCTTTAAAAAAAATATAGAAGAGCTTGAGCAATTTGTGATATCAGTCACAAAGAACCAATGATACGAAAACGGATCCAAAGGTAGTTGCACGAATGGTAAATATATGTATGGCAACTGGCGAGGGTTAAAAAATTACAAAGAATTTATGAAAAATAAAAATAAATGGAACTTGAAAAGACGAATTGGAACAAAAATAGAATTAAGAATAGATTAAAGCAAGAAATAATGAAGATATAATAATCAACGAGAAAGGGGGATTTTTTAAAATGACACAAAAAAAATATGGCGACTTGAGAGGGTGGAAGGTAGAAGGTGACCTATAAGGGGGAGGGGAGGCAGTTTAGGACAAAAAGCACGTCAGCTGAGGAGGGGGACTGGAGAAAGATCTGCATGGTACATTGCACGAGTACTAAACGCCTAAACGGACATTGAATGATATATTTGGATGATCTAGAGCCAAGATGTTCAACCCAGTCTTTTCCATACGCTTGGTCGCCCTGATTTTTAAATAGTTCATTATTTGTCATCTTTTATTCAATTTTGAAAGAATTTATATCCCGCATTTTTACTCACAATTTCATGATCTAGAGTATAAGAAGTTTCTTGTTTGTTCGGAGGCAAATATGAAACATTTCGATAAAACTTGAATTAAATAAAGGAACTGAGATCTTGCAACAAACTCTTGTTTTTAAATATTTATATCTGTGTGCAACCCGATGTTATAGACCTTTGATAATTCAAACTATGAATTCTGTTGGATCAAATAGTCTAAGCTTGAAATATCGAGTTGTAAAGATATTGGGATTAGAAAAGTTAGTTTGTGGAAAGAACTCGGTTCCTTCACATATCCAACTATCTTGTCTTATCATTTGGGAAATTTTTGTTGTGATTTTTACTTTTTTTTATTTGTTTTCAGTTTACATTCAAGATTTTTAATCCCTCACTACGTTCGAGGTTAAAGATTAAAATCTTAAATTTGACCCTTAAACAAACAAAAAAAGTGAAGATCCGGGACAAAAAAACCAGATTATTCCGCATTGTAACACAAGACAGTTACATAAATAGATATTTCATGTTTAATTTGATAATTCAAGTCAAATAAAGTTAGTCCTGGAACTGTTTTGATTTTTCATGGTTGAATGCAAAAATAAATTAGCAAATTAAAAGACAAAGAAATTGTGCGAAAAATAATGAAAATTTCCTTTTGGTTCGTCTTTCTTTCTTTTATCTCGATCCCTACTTCGTTCTCTTTCCTCTCGATCTTTCCAATCCTCACTTTTATTCCTCTTGCTTCGGCCTCTTTCACTTGTATGATACACAACCCTTCTTCCATTTTTCCTCTCATTCTCCCTTCGCCTTTCCTCTTTCTCCTCATCTTCTTTCCTTCTATCTTCCCTCCGCTTTACATTTCTTTCCCGATTCCTCTCGTTCTCCCTTCTTCTTTTATCTTTTTCCCTCCTTGCTCTTTCATTACTTTTCCTCCTTGATCTTTCATCCTTTTCCCTCCATGATCTTTCATCCTTTTCCATCCTTGCTCTTTCTATCCCCCATTCTCTTTCCCTTTCCTCATTGCTTTGGCGAAACTTCTGACACTGTCTGATCCCTTGATCCAACATTAACTGGATGTTTTCAGAATTTTGGTTGATTGCTTGATCTCCACTAAACTGATCATATTCCTGATCCAATCTTATTTGGAAGTTTTCATGTTCCTGACTGATCCCCTGATATTGGGGCATCTGACTGATCCCTTGATATTGGGGCATCTGACTGATCCCCTGATATTGAGGCATCTGACTGATCCCCTGATATTGGGGCATCTGACTGATCCCATGATATCTATTTAACTGGTGATACTCTTGATCCAGTCGTATCTGGAAGTTTCCAGGATGTTGATCGGTCCCTTGATAGCGTGGTGTCTGGTTGAGTCCACGATCTCTACATAACTCGTTTATCCCTTGATCCAGTCTTAACTGAACATTTCCTGGATACTCATGATCTCCACTCCACCTAGGGATTGCTTGATCTATCCTTTCTTCATTGATCCCTTTGTTTGTAATCCCGAAAGTCCTCTCAATGATCATTCTCCTGTCCTCTTCCTCCCTCAACCTGATGTTCCTCTCCCAAACAATCCTCATGTCCTCCTCATCCTTCATCACTTCCGTAGCAGCCTCCAACCTACTCTTTGTCATCAGTTCCACACTTCTGATATTCTTCTTCAAACTTTGCTTTGTTTTCCGAATCATCTCCGATCTTATCCTGTCTTCTTTTAACTTCTTGGTGTGTCTCTTTTCTTTCCTTTCATTGTATTCCCTTGCTTCTTCCTCAAATTTTCTTTTCTTATTTCTCTTCTGCCTTTTCCCTTTAACATTTGTCTGAGAGGGTTCTTTTCCCCTATTTCCATTCTGTTGAGAATTTACTCCCTTATGACGAATAGTGTCTTTGCCATTCCGCTTGTTTGAGTCTGGAGCTTCCATCGTTTCATGATCCTCTACTTCTATTATCTCAACCTCTATATTCTCTAGCTCAGTATCTGTTAAGAATCTGTCCCTGATATCTCCAGATTGATTAGGACTACGCTGGCTTATGGATCTCTCTCTTGTGGGGCTTCTGGACCATGATGAGTAAACAGGATAGAAACTTGTATACAGCTTTGAAGGGCTTACCTAGAAAAGTCAAAGTCAACCTTTTAAGGGGACAATACGTATAATTTTCGAATGACCATCCATGCACAAGACGCAATGCCCGATTAACTACGGTACCATAGAAATATTTATCTGATTAATAATGAGAAAGCTATTGTCGTACTTCTAGGTTTGAAGTATTAATTCTGATAATTCTTGTGTAATTTTCTGCACTAGAAATAACGCATGTCACTATTTTAGAGAAACCACAATTTTAAGATTTTAAACATTGATATCTATAATCTTATTCATAATTGACCAAAAAAAAAAGATTTTAGGGTACCATTTCAAATCAGGCATTGCCATAGCTCTGCATGTAGGGTCACTTGAAATTACGCTTACATTCCCTTTAAGCCATGCAAAATTAAACCAAATTGAGGTAACATAAACAATTCTGAGTTTTTGATTATTGTGAAATGCAAAGCGTTAAAAGTTACCAGGGAAAAAAATATTATTTTTTAAAAGTTCCATCTTTCTAAAAGCTAAGAACAACGAGTAATTAAATCTAACTTGCAGAAAATGTCAAATAACACTTAAATTCCATGTTTAAATGTTTCAAAATACTTGACATATTATAAATTTGCTCATATTTTTGTGTTTTTCGTTACGAAACAAGATTAGAAGCAATACCTATGAAACCAAACGAAAATGAAAGACGGTTAAAAAATTTAAAAAAATAATTTCGTTTTTGATTTAAGAACTTGCATTAATTAGAAATACTAGAACCCCCGGCTGTATAGGGTTAAAACATAATGGACCCAAACAAAACGACATTTTAAAATATAAATTAGAATAACTAAATTCATTTAAATTTTTTTCCCGAAAAAAATAGAACTAATTTTGCTGTCTTTTGGAAAAACCACGGTAGTTTTAAAGCTAGGAAAATGAACAATTTTGCAAGGAAAACATTTTTAATCATCAGATAAAAAGCAAAGTTAAAGGATTTTTTAAAAAATTGAACAGCGTTCTCACTGGAATAGTAGTGTTTAAAGTAAATTTTAGAAAAGTTGGGAGCTATAAAGTACGTTTGTTTACAATATTACAATGTCAGCTGGGGCTCCAGTTAAATTGTAAACTTTGTAAATAAGGGTGGAAATTTCCTGGGTAGGTCATGTTTACTTAAAGACAAATATATATATATATCTGCCGAATATATCACCCCCCCCCCCTTGCTAACTTCTACTCGATTGGAACTTGAAATTTTAATTTGCCAAATGCAAGCATACAATGAATTTCCAATCATAAGAATATTTCAAATGTTTTCCAGCAATTTATCTATTTACCAGGTTTACTTGACGATGATCTCTTCCACTTTTGAAATCCCAGAAATCGATGATATCCTCATTCCTTGAAAATCCTGGATCTTGATGCTTTTGCCGTGAAAAATATGGATCCCTTTGCCTTCGCTGATTCATAACCTGTCGAAGATCTTGATCTAAGCTATGTGAAGGAGAATGGTTTAAATTACATCCTGAGTAAAATGGGGAGGCAGAATTTAAGGATTCAGGGTTTCTCCAGGTCGGAGGTTGAACAGCTGGTTGTTGATTGTATGAAATCCATTCGCAGTTAGGATTTGGGAAGGTTTGAGGGGCTACAGAGGCTGAACTGGATACTCTTGAAGGTGGAACTGAGAATTGACTAGATGCTCTGACGGGTGGGTATAATTCTCTTGCAGAGAATGATGATCTAAATGAAGCACTAGTGACGGTACTTGGTGCTCTCAATGGTACTTCTAATACTGTTGTAGTGAATGATGGTATACAAGAAGAACTAGTGATGGTACTAGATGCTCTTGGTCCTGTTCTTGAAGTCCTTAGGGGATATCTTTCAATGAAATCCGAACTTGAAGGCTCGAAGGATTCAGGTGATTGAACGCTGAAATCCGTCCTTCTTGAGATACGTTCAAGAGAAGGATCTGGAAACAGTTCCATTCTTCCAGATCCCGCACTAGCTGGATATCTCAGGTTGGACCTGGATCGGACTCGACTCCTTGCACTTTGCTCTTTTGAAGAACGTGAGTAAAATTCTTTCACCGTAGCTATCAGCCTACCCGGAGTTTGTTCCTTTGAAACGTTCAATTTTGACCCTAATCTTGAAAATACTGAAGAAGAACTTTCTTCAGGAGATTTCTTTTTCTCATAGTTTGAACAGATTTCCTCAAACCGTTCATGCACTCTTGTAGGTTCACGTCCAAATTCAAGAGAACTTGTTAACGAACATCCCTTTGTTACTAAATCATTGTTATTACCAGAACATGGTTCAGAGAAACTACCATCAAGACTCAATGATAAACTGGAGGTATCAGGTTCAAACAGAATCTCCGGCTTTATTTCAGTCTTACTTTCTGAAAATAAAACATTCAAGTACTCTAAATTTCTAGAAGCAAAGATCATTAAAAAATGTGTTAAAAACGTGTTAACATTTTTTCTTCCTAATGGTTTTTTTTCTCAGAATTTGCAGACTGACAAAAGTGTCAATGTAATTTAAAATTTTAGTGACAATGTCAGACTGTTAGTGACTGTCACCCTTAAAGGGAGTGACCGGCTATGTAAGGTAGTTGTACTGAGTATACAGCGTATTGGAAAACTTCTTTCGAATTCATTTGAGATATATTAAACTTTTTAAGGTTTTTTAATTCTTGGTTTTGGGGGCAATACGGTTGTTTAAACTTCTACTTTGGGGGTGGATACTTTTTCAGAATTAGTTTTTCTTTAAATTATTAAATAACGACGACATAAAATGTAAAAAAGTTTTACAATAAACTACAGACGTCATGTATAGGAACATTATTAGTTTCTATTATCTATTATTCACAAATTTTTCGTAGATTTTCTAGAATTATTATTGAAAAGACGACATTTTAAGAATTTGAAGAAATCTGCGAATAAATTCAAAGAAAATTATTGAAAAAAAATTTCCATATTTGCGACCCATTTTGGGCGAGAGCATTTTTGCCTCAGAATTGGCTAAAATTTTGAACATCATCAACATTTGACCCAATATGTATGGGAAATTTAATTTTTTTCTTCATGGACAGACGTCGATATCAACGTTTTCGGAGCAAAAATTGTACTTTTGAACAAAATTGACATTTTTCTAATACAAAAGTAAAAAATATATGAAAAAGGGTGTTTTGTAACAGAAAAACATAATTTAAGGATTTTTTAAAAAAAAACTCTCAATATTCCCTTAGGTTGTATGTGAGGTGGGGTCGTAGAAGAGGTGTTGGGGAGAGGGGGAGGGGGGCGATTATGGTTCAACTAGAAAATCAAAAGTCTTCCCTAATTTTTTTTGAACTCGTACAAATATATGAGAAAAAAAGGCGTTTGAGGGGGCCCTTGGGAGGCATAGTGTGAAAGGGGAAGAGGGCCGTAGGGGGAAATTTAACCAGCAATAAACATATCTCCAGAGATTTTCCAAAAATTTTGAAAAACGTTGACATCGACAGACTTAAAAAAGCAATAAAAACTAACTTAAAAGTGACTAATAAAATGAAATAGCAGTGTGAAATAAAAATTCATTAAATATGGACACAAAATAATTTAAGATATTAAAAATAAGATGAAAAACTAAATGTTTTTACCATGAACACCTGTCTTTGCATTATGATTAGCTCTGAGAGACCTATGATTTGGAGTACAGTGGGGCCTTTATGGACATTATTTAAACTAATCTGACCTATTGCATTTGAGAAATTATCGGAACCAAAAACTTGTAATTAACAGGGCCTTGGGTGTCACAAAGTTAGACGTCAATATCGACGTTTTCGCCCATAATGGGTGAACGTTTGAATGCTTGAAGATTGATGTGTAAAAAAAGTATTTTTTTACAACTAATTATATCATGAAGGGTTCAGCGTCAATTAAAGACTTTAAAATATATAAAAACTTGCGTTTTGATTTACCTTTCTCAGGTACATCCTTCATGTTTTTCAGAAAGCTTGATAGTCTCCTCTGAAAACTGGGTGAATCTGCAGACCTTGGAGTAGGAGAACCATCCCGGATGCTAAGATGGGAATGAGTCTCGTCTGGACGGATATACTCAAGGTCATTCGCAGGACAGACAAAATCCAAATCATCATATAACAAAGTTTCAAACCAGAAATCCCGGAAGTTACTTTCGAATGAATATGGTTTCTTATACACATACGAGATAGGGGGGTTAATTCTATTAATGAACCCATTTTCTTTAGGATACTGGTTGTGATTCTCTCCGAAAGCTATAGGTTCAAAATCCTCTCCGGGTGGTTGAGGTTCAGAGTTCTCGGCTGATTCCTGAGAAGTTTCAGAGTTTGGTGCAGAAAAGAGAGACTTGGAAATCCATATTCGAGGGTATTTATTTAAAGGAGTTACGTCAAGTTTAGTTCCTAGATCTACATCTAGTTCAGGTTCAACTAGTGGTTGAGCAACTATATCTACATCTAGTTCAGGTTCATCTAGTGGTTTAGTAACTAGATCTACATCTAGTTCAGGTTTATCTAGTGGTTTAGCAAATAGATCTTCATCTAGTTCAGGTTCATCTAGTAGTTTAGTTCCTAGATATACATCTAGTTGGGGTTCATCTAGTAGTTTAGTAACTAGATCTTCATCTAGTTTAGGTTCATCTAGTAGTTTAGCATCTAAATGTACATCTAGTTGCGGTTCATCTAGTGGTTTAGCATCTGAATATACATCTAGTTGGGGTTCATCTAGTGGTTTAGCACCTAGATATACATCTAGTTGGGGTTCATCTAGTGGTTTAGCACCTAGATATACATCTAGTTGGGGTTCATCTAGTGGTTTAGCATCTAGATATACATTTGGTCCAGGTTCAGTTGAGAAACCTTCTTGATTTTCTTGTTTAGAATCAAGATCATTCGTTAGAATAGAATCAAGCTCCGGAGCAATGACAGCGGAAGGAGTAAGGTCTGGAGTACTGTGATGGGAATTAGGATTACGTGTGACCAATAGAAAACCTGAATTCGTATCCTTTGAGGCAGGCGTAGGATCTTCTGTTAAGACTGGAGGGAAATCTGTAGGATCCGAATACAGTCTCGGAAGACCAGAAGAATCAGAATGCATTGATACCATTATCTGAGCATTAGCAAGATCTGAGTGTTCTGAAAACTCAATTGAAAGATCTGTAGGTTCAGGGAAGTTGAAACAAACAAGATTTTCTAATATATGTGTAGGAGGATCATAAGGATTAAGATGTTCTGATAACTCAGCTAAAAGATCTATCGGTTCAGGGAAGGAAAAAGTAATATGGTTTCCAGATTCTTGTGGTGGAAGATCAAGATTTCTAGAAATACCTGGTGGAAGATCAGGATTTCTAGATGCATCAGGTGGAAGATCAGGATTTCTAGATACATCCGGTGGAAGATCAGGATTTCTAGATGCATCCGGTGGAAGATCAGGATTTCTAGATACATCCGGTGGAAGATCAGGATTTCTAGATACATCTGGTGGAAGTTCAGGATTTCTAGATGCATCTGGTGGAAGAGGATTTCTAGATATAGCTGGTGGAAGATCAGGATTTCTAGATACATCAGGTGGAAGTTCAGGATTTCTAGATGCATCTGGTGGAAGATCAGGATTTCTAGATATAGCTGGTGGAAGATCAGGATTTCTAGATACATCTGGTGGATCAAGTGTTTCATACATCTCTTGTTGAAGGTTAGAAGGATCAGAATGTCTAGATATATCTTTCAGATGGATTGAAAGATTAGGATTTCCAGATATATCTGTCAGAAGATTGGAAGGATTATGATTTCCAGAGAGCTGTTCTGGAGATTCTGGAGGATTTCCAATAAGGGTTGAAGGATGATCAGTAGGATCAGGTTGAGAATAATGTTCCTCCATGTCATCTGGAGGACTAGGATCAGGAATAAGAACCTTGGTAGGTTTATGACAATCATTGTTGGAGATCATTTTCTTCTGAAAATTTAAGCTTTAAATAGATGTTTTGTACGATAAATGTTGAACTATAAATAATTGACACTATGTATGTAGAATGTAGATAACATTTTTTACAGTTTGTAAATTATTAAATTCTTCTAAATTCCAGTTAACTGAAGAGGATCAATCTTTAATGCTTGTTAACCAGAATGCCCCGTACATTTCTATTGAACGAGCTGTAACACGTTCCGCGCTTGCTTCACAGTAGGCATATCAATCATCTGTCCCCTAATGTCAATGAGATATTATTTATCAAATAAAATAAAATAAAATAAAATCATGAAAACAAGGAATGGTCATCGGCTCCGAGGTTCAAGTTTTCCGTTTACAAACTTTCGCAAAAGAAAAAAATTCCGAGATTGTTTTTTTTTAACAATTAAAAAAGATTTTCATGTGTTTTCCATATTTATTAGTTCCTTCATATATATCCCCAAGTTCTTACATGTAATACCAAAACCATGAACATTGTAAGCTAATTAAACGCTAAAAATATTCAAAAGATATTCATATATAAATAATATCATTTCCTAAAGGTAAAAGCTCCTTTGCCATCCTCCTGGTGAATTTCAAACTCCTGATAAATTTAATAAACATCTTGTTCTTTATTTAGATAAATGTTTAGTTTAATGTGAATAGATTTAAACGTTTGAGAAGGATTATCAACATATAATGACCCTTTAAATTACGTGTGCCATAAGATATTTACAATTACGTGACGAACTTATAACTCAGAATATGTTGGCTTCATCCTTTATTAAATAACTAGCTTTAACTGGATTTTCCCTATAGGAGTTAACGCGCTCAACTAAAATGTTTATACCAAGCTAAAACATTCCCGTGATTCTACCGGGATCCCTAGTAAAAATTAAAGGCAAATCGGTCCACATGTTCAATGTACGACAAATGTCGTCTCCTAAGCATAGGTAGATAAAATCCGTATATGACGTCACTAATCAAAGAGGCGAGAGTGACGTCATTTGCGGATTCTATCTATCTATGCTAAGGCGACGACATTTTATGATTTTCCGTACATTGGAAAGCATCGAAAATAAGCAACCCTATTATACAACCTTGTTTACAAACAAAACAAACAAACAAACAAACCAAGATTACTACTTTATATATATAGATGATGTATTGTCAACCTATTATCACGTTTAATTTACCCCCAAACAATAAGTAAAATCTGGTTTGTTAAGCATTAAAATGATCAGTTTCTTGTTTTGCAAGAAGTGCATTCTGTACTTGCACTGCTATGCATTTCAATTTGAAATTGCTACCAAAGAAATAATTGACAAAATTTGACATAAGTAAATTTTCCTTGATAAGTTGCTGAGCCCATTCAATCCGGTGAGCCGAGGGAGAGAAGGCTTTCTGTACAATTCCAACCTGGCCTGGATGGATTACCTAAATATAAACCTGGATCAGAATATTCTCCAGAGATCAAAACTAGATCAGAATATCCTTCCAACACCTTCCAACATTCCAACCTTCCAACCCCTTCCAACCTCCCAGAAATTCATTTTTCCTTTAAATATCAATTTAGAGTGAAATTAATGAAGTTTTAGAGTGATAACAAATAAAAAGCAGAATTGTCATCTTTGCTTTTAGAAAATACTAGAAAATACAAGACTTTGTAATTTGTATCTGAATAATAAATATGAACATTGACCCCAGGATACAGTGAGAATCAGAAAACTATGGAATAAGAAGGCGACTTTTATGACTTTAAATAATCCAATAAACATATGACACATTACTAGTGGAGTGTAAACAGTCCCTTTTTCCTTAACAAGTGATATAATAAGTTACTAGTAAACTATTTGCTTTGACACATTACACTCCAGTTCCACAACTTGCTGGTTATCACTATAGCAAATGAAAAACCCTTAACTTCTATTCTTTAAAAGTGAAACCGGTTAATTTTCCAGATAAAACTAGTTTTATTAAGGCCTGGCTGTGCTGACCTGCTTCCCTGTGAACCCGAACCTTGCTCCCTCTTCAGATTGTTTCTGTAATCCTTCAAGATCCTAGTAAATATAACAAACAAACAAAAAAACAAACAAGCAAACAAACTCCCAAACAAACAACAAACAAACAAACAGACAATCAACCATTATTCCTGAGAATAATGGTTGATTCTCTTTAAAATTTCAATCTATTGTCAGGGTCAAAACTTTCATTTTCAAATCATGACCCCCCCCTCTCAAAAAAAAATAAAATTTTTCGATTAATTCATTCCATTTCTTGGGAACTTTTGTGTTTCATACTCATAATCCCAGTTGCTTGAAAACTTAAATCCATCTATTTAATCAACTCTTGATTAATCTGCAGAATAACAAAACATCAAGATCAAGCATTGATCTCGATATCCACAATACAAGTGTTTCTAGCTCAGGATTGACAAATGTCAAATCCACAAAAAAATATGTTATAAAATTACCTTATAATCTATATAAACTATATCTATTGCTTGAAGTTTAAAGGCTTTTGCTGCTGCTACAACTGCTTGTCNATGTCATCTCGTTCTGCATAGCATATCCCTTGTGCTAATTCATCCCCTAAAATTCTGGAGATAAGCTCGTCTAGGTCATTTTCAGAGTTCAGAAGACCCTGTCCTGCTCTAGTGAGAACTCGAATCCCTTTGAATGGGGTGCGAACGCCCAGCCATTGCCAATCTCTTTTAGCGATGGGGATCTGGAAGTATGAATTGTGTAAATCAGCGAAGATGTGAAATTTGTGTTTCGCTAAGAAGGAGAGAATGTTCTTGGAGGATGTTGGTTTGGATGGTTTGGGTAGAAGAGAATCATTAAGATTGTTGAAGGCAACAACCCATCTGATTTCATCAACACTGCAGTCATCCAATTTCTTATGTTTAGCTCTGCCCTTCTGAAGAATGAAGGACGGAGAGATTTTTCTCACCTGTATGTTGTGTTTTTGAGGATCAATCAGAATGTTTTGTTCCTCCAGGTTGTCCATGACAGCCTGTTGGAGAGCAGCACATTTGCTGCTGTAGAGGGGTATTGGGCAAATCTTTGATTCCGGTAAGGTATCTTGTTTAAAGGTCAGTGAAGCCAAGTACCTACCAGATTTACCGTTGTAGCCTGTTGAGAGATCGTTATCAAAGGCAGGTAAGTTATCTTTGTGAATTGTTTTCAGATCAGAAAGTTCTGTCTGGGAGAGTATAGAGGAGTTGGTGTTTTTCTCTAGAATCGGGATTGGATCTGTGAGAACCAAATCTTTGTGAGTTTTAGTTTTGGATAAGGAGACAATAGGGTCTCTGTCTTCGACCGAGGCAGGCATGCAAAGGAAGCGTGTGGCTTTGTTCATTTGGAGAAGTTTATTTGAGTGGTTGGTATAGGTAACAGAAGAATTGTTAATGTTTGAGATTTGTGGGATTAAGTTATGGTCATCTGAGATGGGTTGGATAGCAACTAAGGCTGATGTTGGGCTGGGATTGTTACCAAGTGAGATTTCGATCGAAGCCTCAGGGGGAAGAACCGTTGATCTGTTTATCTTTAGAAACATATGGTTGGCTGGAGTTGATTGTTTGGCGTGGATTGGGTCGGGTAGCTTGGTGTTTGAGGGTGAAGGAAGTGGTAGCATTTCGTCGGATTGAAAGAGGACGTGTTTGTCCTGGATTTTGATCTGTCGTTTGCGGATTTGGGGTTGAATATCATTATCCCAGTGAAACGTGGTACCTCCAAAGCAAGGTGCTTGGAGGTTTTTCATGACCAAGGCCCTCAGTCTAGCTGTTATGGCGCCTCTCGTGAGGGCAATGTCAACTTCACCGAGTGAGGCCATTCTTGTTTTATCGTCAGCCAGGAGTGCGAGCTGGTCGTTTGGTTTGACTGGGATCCCATAGGACTGAACGGTGTCCTCTCTGATGAAAGAGACTGTTGCTCCAGAATCTAAAGTGATGTGGAAAGGATGGTTATTATAAAAGAGGGTAAGGATTTGACTGGGAATGGGGGTGAGCCTACTTATGATGGGGGTTGAGTCGCATGCCTGGTGTGATAGTCATTGGTCTTCATCCTGATCCTCTTCCTGTAGAGAGAAGGGAATAGGATCATAATCCTCAGGGTCGTCTACAGATGCCGCGTTAAGTATGGCATCTTTGAGTTTGCAATCAGCTTGGTTGTGGCTTGAAACTATGGCAGGAGGCCTTCCTGCAATTCTGCAGATCTGACATGATCTTCGTTGGTAGTTTCCTTGTCGCCGAAACTGCTGACGTCCCCTGGGGTGCTGCTGAGTCCTGAAGGCAGCAAGTTCAACCTGGTTTTTGTCTTCAGGTTCAGGATACATGTAATTCAGAGTTGTTGCTCTGTTGGCCTCGATGTCATCAAGGTCTTGGATCATGCCTCCAATTCGTTGAAAAATCTGAATCTGGAGGTCTTTGAGGGTGGTATGGCCTGTCATTTGGTGGCCAAAAGTCTTGTTAACATGGGCAGGGAGACGAGGATCAATTTTTTCCAAGCACCATAGTACAACGGTTTCTTCGAAGGTTGGAGACATGATTTCATCAGAGTCCAACTCTCTGTTGTTCTGATATTGGATTTGATGACCGCGTTTCTTCAGGTTGTCGTAGATTGAGGCTCTGAATTCCCTGTAGAAGGTTTGATAGTTGGTTCCAGTCTTATACTGGTGTTCGCTGACTTTGAGGAAATGTGCCCCTCTTTTTTCCAAGTTGTAGTGTTGCTCAAGATAAGAGACAATCCAAGTTGCGCTAGTGGACAGGTTGGAAATGTCATCAGATTCTGTATAGTGGCAGACAACGCATATCAGTTGAATGAACTTGGAGAGTTGGGCATTTCTTTTAAGGAGGAGGGCTTGAACATCAGTTTCATAGTGTTCTTGGTTATAGTCTGCGCCTGTTCTAAGACGGAGAAGACGTGCGTGCTCTGGATCTGTGGCAGCTGCGTTGGTTATTCGTCTGCGGTTCCTCGCCGAATCGAGTGAGGTCCAGGTTTCATATGTACCTCCCTCAAGGAACATGTAGTTATCAACGTCTTGTTCAAGGTAGGAGAAGAGGTTGTTCTTCCATGCCTTGAATGCAACGGTTGTAACACCATCTGCTGGGAGTTTGTCAGGAGCTTTGAGTTTGAGGGACATGACGGAGCTGGAAGAGGGTTTGTTCTCGGGGTGGATTCGATACCGCTGCCACCACGCAAGTAACACACCTGTGTATCTGCTCCGGTCTGAGTGGTCCTCCTAGTCCCGTCCAGGCGAGGGTCGCCTGGCTACGTCTAGGGAAGGAACAGAGAAGGAGGAAAGGAGTAGATGAACCGCCTGGTCTGTCTTGGACTGCAGGAGAACGAGAACGCTCAGGATCGGTATCCAGGAGATCGAGAGAGAGAGATGGATCCACAATCCGGAATCCAGGAATCAATTCAATAATAACACAGGAAGGCCTTTAGGATCTTCTTGGCATTTATCTGGAATATAAACACCACTATAGATATGACACAAGAAAGGACAAGAGACATGGACAATACAAAGATCACAATTTAAAGACATATAGTGGTGCCATCCTGGAGGGTTGGAGGAGATGAGACAGCAGCCGTGAGTAGAACCTAGATAAGGTTCTATGAGTGGGGTGGCGAAATAAATAAAATGTAGCTGTTAACTATTTGCATTGCTTTGTTTTGGTCCTCATGGATATTTAAAATCAAAATTTGAGTCCAACAAACTAAAAGTCGTCTTCATATTCCACAGTTTTATGTTAACTATAAGGGATTTTCGGCTTCAAGAGATTCTCAAAAAAAAACAATATTCACATTTATGTTAATTTGGTTCTCTCCTGTACAATGTACATATAATGCATATACCTGGAGACTAAACAGTCGAGGGTTGAGGAATAAACATGTTTTACGGTAAGATGCAAACTGAAACTTTTTATTATTTTTGAGTCTGCTTTCAAGCTTAATAAAATTTTTGTAAAACTGAATCACACAAATCTATCTTGTGTAATGCAAATGAAAACCATTACATTTACATTTTACATTTGTAGTATGTTTACTCGAAACCCCATATTAGACAGTTATGGTTGACTTTTGAAATTCCAACATCATACATATTGACTATTGAGGTGATACTTGTTTTACATTTTATTAAATGTATCATTTGTTTGCAACATTTATCATTAATTCATACCTAAAACCCAGCTTTTTATATAGGAATAAGGATTGGTTCATCCATTATTCTTTAATCTACATTTGAAAAATAAAAATATTTTTATGCAAATAATATTTCCTGTATTGTGTTGGTGGGTGTTCTGTTAGCAATCTTCACCTTTTAACAAGAAAATAATTATTTGATTAGTTTTATTTATCAATGACTTGTCCACATTTAATGTAGATTTGTTGTATTTTTATACTTCTGTTCGCTATTTGATGGTTTTAAATAAAGATCGAGTAAGCATCCTATGGGTGCGCGAAAGATGGTCAAGTTTTCATTTTAGAAGATATTTAGGATAGAAATTTTCCATGAAGGTCAGTTCATTAAATTGGTGATCGATTCAACAAATCCATTTTCAGAAACAACAAATTGTGATTCCATACATTTTTCCTGCAAAGTGTCCTTAAACAAATTATATTCTGTTCCATTGTTAACCTTAAAAATGTGCGCCAGCTTGAGTACAACAGGATGATTCTGCAGCTAAAACAGAACACAATTAAATAAAACAATTACTTTTTTTCACAAAAAAATCTTTCTTCTGTTTTTATGTGCTTTAAATTGTGAAGTTAAATTTTAATGATTGGAAAGTTGTGTCTTAATATCTGGAAATTAATTGACGATTACAGAATCGTATTTGATCTTGATTGAGTTAATAATGCAGTGTATCAAAACAAAGTGATATGTTTATCTTCTTTTTACTTATAAAATTAACGAGATATTGAAATAAAATTTTTTCTATTTCTTAATTATTCACTTTGAAGGTTAAAAAATGGCATATCCAAGTCCAAGATTATTCTATGTTAACTTTTTTCAATCTACATTATTATTACCATACATACATGTATTTTAATTTAGTTAAAATACGACTTGCTTGTCTTGACTTAATTCCAATGTTTCTAATGACACAAGCTATTCAGATGAACTTTGTTCTAAATCTTTTAAGAGCTTACAGATATGTTAACAATGATGGTTAAACGTTTATCCTCTCCAGAATTATCCATTTTTTAATACTTCAATCTGAAAATAAAAATTCTTTTATCACAAATATTTTTGAAAGGTAAAATCTAAAAACTTTGTTTATCATGATTCATTTCATACAAAAAAGATTACTCAGTGGCCGAATTTAAAGAATTTGAGCGGTGGTTTAAATTTAAGCCGCGGTTTAAATATGGTTGGTTCCACTTAAAATTGTATCAAATGTTTCAAGATTTAGGCCGGCGCTTAATTTAAACCGGGTTTTGGCGGATTTAAACCGCGGCTCAAATTCTTTAAATTCCATCTCAGTACTTCTATATATATATATTTTGCTTGTCTGTCTGGGTGTCTCTTTGTTTGTTAAACAGCTTAATTGATCAGGCCCAAATTTTGGGTGAGACCTCGCATGCCCCAGGAAAGGTTCTATATGAGCAAATCTTTGTAAAATTAGCCTCCAACAAAATTGATTTTCATTAAATTTTGAAAATCCACGAAATTTTTTGTATAAAATCCGCGAACTTTGTTGTTTGTTATTGCGTTACAATGTACAAAGAAGAAAATGTCCCCAATTGAAATAGAAGATGGGCTCGAAGCGCCCGGCCTGAAAGCCAGTGATAATAATTAGTGATAAATTTAAACTAGTGATGTGTAAATATACTAACATATTACATGAAAAAATGTTAAAAATTCTTTAATAAACTGAGAAAAAAAATTATACATTTTATACTTCAAGTTGGTATTTTGAGTTTCATAACAGTCTAAATAACTTGAATTCAATGTTTAAATAGATTTGAAAAGAATTTAGTTTTCCTTTACTTAACCTTTCTTATTGGATTTCTGTATATCATCTACATTAAATTTTTAAGTAGTTGTTAATAATTTTATTTATTTTTGATATCTATGAAAGAGTGACGTGTAAAGAAGATAAGGAAAATTATCCAAATCACTAGTAGTTTACTTCAGCCATTAATGATACTGTTCACATTTATTCTACCCTTCAGGTAAACAATACAAAACAACTCATTTATATCAAAATACAAAAGTTAAGATTAGAATAAAAAAGTTTGTTTAATTTATTTGATTAGTGTGGTTATCGCAGGATCCTCTGCTCTAGGTGAACACGAGGTAAATATATATAATGCATATCCTAATCCGGATCCGGGTTCACTGATTCCGGATCCGCTTAGTCCGGACCCAATAAATCCGGATTTAATATTTCTCGCATTAAAAATACAATAAACTTGACTGAATCATATCCATTTCCAGCTTTGTTGACAGACATTTTTTAACAATTTTGAGACTCTTTTAAACTTTAGGATGGATGTGGAATCTATCCACGATGTGAACAATATGGTGCAGGAGTTTGGCAAATACTGGAAGATTGTCACAAGTAAATTTAGAGCTATTAACTTTCTTAAATATTTGATAGTGGGTCTGTATTAAAGAGTGCCATAAGTGATCCACCAAGCAGTATCAATAAAAAAGTGATGTATTGTGGTTCTTGTGTCTTTGTAAATTTATAAAATGTTCGAATATTAATTGTATTTGACTCAAAAATTGCCTTGAGTTTTACCGTCTATTTGAATCTTGAAGGTATATAAGCTGTACATTTGATGCGAATGGAAAACTGGTTCAAGAGAACTTGGAATGTCCTGGAGACCTGGTCTATACTGAAGAATATGGAAAATGTGTAGATTATAATATGGCATTTGAGTGCAAGTTGTTCAAGGTATTTTTTTCAAATAACCTTGAGTTGCATGTGATCAGAGGTGGCGAATGGGGGAATCCCAAAGTCGCCATCCTTAGAAAATTGGACGGACGGGGTGCAAAATTGGATGGATTTGGGGTGCAACATTTTTCCAATTATTCTCCCCCCCCCCACCTCTGGTATATTTTGTAAGCCGCCCCTGCATGTAATTGTTAAAAATGAACTATTATGGATTCATATCAGCTAATTGACTTTTAGGATACACCATGCTTTGGGAGCTGTCCTAGACTTTATATTATGTCAGAAGGTAAAAACTATTTTTTAATGTATGTTAACAAAATGAGTTTCAAATATTAAAAGATTATAGAAAAAGAAATGATTTGGGTTCTTCATCACTAAATTTTTCAAAACATTGCATAAAATTTTTTCATTTGATTTCATTTTCATTTCTGAACTGTTCAGGTTATGGTTTAGAGCATCAAGAGAGAAGATTAGGGTGCTTTAGATTATCAGGTTTCGCTTGAAGTTTAAAATAAAAAGATAATTTTTGTAAGTTTGTAATTTCAGGAAGTATGTTTGGATTTCTACCACATTATAAAAATATGAATGCTCAGTATCTATCCCCTGATAGTTCATCATCCCCTGCATTAATTCATTGGCTGATTAGCGAGAGATTTGGAGCAATGAACGGAGGAGTTAAGTAAGTTTTAAATATATAAAAATCTAAACATACGGTTATATTTTAACTAAGATTTGGAGCAATAAACGGAGGAGTTAAGTAAGTTTTAAATATTTAAAAATCTAAACATACGGTTATATTTTAACTAAGATTTGGAGCAATGAACAGAGGAGTTAAGTAAGTTTTAAATATATGAAAATCTAAAACTACGGTTATATTATAACTAAGATTTGGAGCTATGATCAGAGGAGTTAAATAAGTTTTAAATATATAAAAATCTAAAACCACGGTTATTTTACAACTAAGATTTGGAGCAATGAACAGAGCTGAGTTGAGTAAGGTTTAAATATTTAAAATTCTAAAACCACGGTTATTTTACAACTAAGATTTGGAGCTATGAACAGAGCTGAGTTGAGTAAGGTTAAAAATAAAAATCAAAAACTACGGTTATATTATAACCAAGATTTGGAGCAATGAACAGAGCTGAGTTAAGTAAGGTTTAAATATATAAAAATCTAAAACTACGGTTATATTTTAACTAAGATTTGGAGCAATGAACGGAGCTCAGTTAATTAAGTTTTAAATATATGAAAAGCAAAAATTATTGTTATATAACAACTAAAATTTTGTAATCTGATATATTTTAAACCAATCAATACTTGGGAAAGAAACAAATAATTTTTTTCTAAATTAAGGTTGGATGTTTCAATATTCAAAATATTTGATCTCCCTTTTCAGGAATGAAGAGTATTATCACCTTCAATGTCCGTACACTGGCTGGAATAGTGGCTGGCAGGTGGATAAAAATATTGGAAACTGGGTGGAAGATAACACTATCACTATTTCTTGTTATCATGGTGATGAAGATATTACAACTCATGGTCCAACAAGCTCTACATCTGCATCACCTTCATCGTCATCTAGTACTACAACAACTGTTACAACTTCTACGACAGATTCAACTCAACCCACTCAATCCACTCAACCAACTCAATCCACTCAACCCACTCAACCCACTCAACCCACTCAACCCACTCAACCAACTACAACTGTTACAACTCCTACAACGGCTTCCACTACAACTCCAGAGCCATCAGTTTGCGAAACTGTAAGATATAAATTATTTAAGAAACTATCGTTGTACTTATGAGTAGCCCTATGTTTACGGCGGGGATTGTCCGATTCACCTTTAGACCTTTAACTGATCAATAATATGATAAATATCGTCGTTTTTCTAGCTTGAAAACTCCCGATTCAAACAATTTTTAAAATTATTTTCCGCAATTCACCAAAAAAAAAACAATTTTCAAGTTGAAATCTTGGATATCTAATTCAATTTTGATCATGTTTTCAAAGGTACTGTTCTGAATCGGAATTGCCACTCTTTGAATGAGGGGGGGGGGGGCATTTGAAATTAAAGGAAGTGACCGGCAATGTATGGTAGTTGAACTGAGAATGTAGTATTGTGGAGGACTTTTTTAGGATTCATTTAGACCTATAAAACGTTTTAATGATGTGTAATTACCGAGTTTGAGCGCAAAGTCGACTCTTAAAAACATCCATTTGGGTACTAGTTACGTTTTGAGAATCGATTTTTTTAATTATTACATAACGACGACGGAAAATGTATCAAAAATCTTCGGTTAACCAATTAGATGTTTAGGAAAATATTTTTTGATAGAAATTTGTCAAAAAATCAACAATCAATTATTTCTTTATCAAAACTATATTGAATATCTTATTCTCAACGAATTTGTTCGCAGATTTCTACAAATCGTTCAAAGGTCGTCTTTTCAATAAAATTTCCAGAAAATCTACAGAAAATGTTTGTGAACAATGAGAGATTACAAAAACTAATAACTGAATAATATTACTTATTTTCGATGATAAGAGTTATTTTCTCAACCTGTTCCTTAACAACTGATTAGTTTACTGTAGAATTTTTGTTACAATTTTGTCTCGTTGTTATTTAAAAATTTTAAAAAATCAATTCTCAAAACGTAACCACCGAAATGGATGATTTTAAAAGTCGATTTTGCGCTCAAACTCAGTAATTATACATTATTAAAACGTTTTATATGTCTTAAATAAATCCAAAAAATTTCTCCACAATACTACATTCTCAGTTCAACTACGATGACATTGCCGGTCTCTCCCTTTAAGTATATAATTCCTTTAAGTGACTTCATAAAAAAACATTAAATGAAGTATTTCAGGAAGGTCCAAATGCTATCAGCAATTGTATTTCTGAATTCAACTGCTGTCATAAAGAGAGTGGAAACTGGAAGGTTACAAAATGCACTTGTGATTTAGATTTTCTGTTTTCTGAGGTAAAAAAAAACATTGTGAGATGAAAACTTTTATGATTTAACAATATTGTGTATTTTAAGGACTTTGCTATGTGCTCTTGGCCAGATGCATGCTGGAGAAATGAACTAGATGTTTCCGTTCGAGCAAGTCACACTTGTGAAAATAACAGCCTTTGCTATTAGAAGAAATCAAAATATATTTTTTTTTTAAAACCTTTAAATAATCAATATAAATATTAAATACACGTAAAAGGAAAGCTTTCTTTTCCTTCCATAGATTTTAAAAAAGACATTAAAGTAAAACAATAAATTTAGAAAAGGAGTTGGTTTCCAAGACATGGGTATGAGGATTTAATTGTCTAATTTTAGTCTAGTTGCTCAAATAAGCCTTTTTTCAAACAGTTTAAATTTTGATCTTAAATCTTTATACTACCATTGTTTAAACATTTGATCTTTCCAATTTCAAATAACACAAAATGTTCGTATAAAGTACTGATCTAGTTAGTCTCTTTGTTTGGATGTCCGATCATAACTCAGGGACCCCTTGACCGATTTGCCTCAAATTTGAATTGGGGAACTCGGCAGAACCGCGAAAATATTCTCATCTTGTACAGGGTGTCCCACGAAACATGAAAGTTGGTGAATAGTTTTGAATCTGTATTATATAATAAAGACTTTTCGCAGTTTATTTCGTTAAAAATTCTCTTACTCAAATATGTTTTACTTAGAAATCAAATTTATTATTTTATGAATGCCATGTAATATTTTTTAATATTGTCTTTGGTATCAAACAACTTCACAAATTATGGAAGAAGACATTCTAAACTATTTACCAACTGTCATGTTTCGTGAGACACCCTATATTAAAAGTTCTAAGTTGAGTTATTTTACTTTCAAAAGGATATCTTATTTTACAGGCAAATTGGGTTCACAAGCTAAAGTCTATTAACACAAAAAAAGCAATGCTTTTGCTAAAAAACAAGTTCAAGAAATAGTGATTTTTATTCATTTATATTTTCTATAAAATAGTATTTACAAGTTATTAGCTAACATCTGTTAAAGACATTTGTGTTAAGTTTTAATTATCAAAAACTTGATTTCAGTTTATAAAGGGGAAGTTTTTAATGCAGTGTTTTTAATATTTAAAACTTACAATTCTTTAAAATTTATGAGTAAGAGAAACTTTGTCCCCGTATTAATATTCTTAAAGTAAAATCTCGATTTTATTATTTTAAATGTTTTTGACTATTGTAATGTATACATGACAAACTTTGTAGGGAAAATTGTACAAAAAAGATAATACTTCTATTATACCTGTCAAACTCCCCCCTCCCCCCCCCTCCTCGACCAACTATCGAGTATGTAATAGAAATTAAACACCTGTTATGATGTTATTCGAGTTATCAGTACTAAACTTATCAAAAGAAAATATTATCCTATTTCTTTCTAAATGTCGTCTTATATTCCCTTACATTTAAAAAAATATTTATGAATAAAAAATAGTTTAAAGCCTTGTGTAAAAAAAACCTGAAGCATTAAAAAATATTGATAAATTGTATTCTACAGAACCCTTACCACTCCGTCCTGGGGGGCGGAGGTGAAAAGTAAATACGTAATAATTAAAGGTGTACACTCTCTACTGCAGACTGCAGACAATCCCAGAGTTTTGATAAAGTAGATGTAGATGTCATGTAGTGAAAATATAGAATATTTATTTTTATTTATTGTGCCAATGGTTTATTCCTCTTCAGCTACAACCTCGGGATTACTCAGGTATAGTAAAAAAATTATATATCTTTGGAATAAAGAATTTCCAAACTGCATAGTAAATTGTTATTGCTTATTCGAATATCCCATGCTTTGTAGTTGAATAAAAATATGAATGAGTGAATGTCCAAAATTGATAGGGGGGGGGGGGG